AACACCATTACATAAGGTGCCCTGCTTCTGGTTAGTCTGCCTCCAGCTTCCTCATGCTAATACTCTCAAGTCAGAGCATACATGAAACCTAAACCCCCACCCTCATTTTTCTTTTACTTATAGCTTCCTACTCCCCTGACACCCTTTGAGTCTCTGCCAGACACAAATGATGGTGGCTGACTGCCTTGTTATAGCAGACATGGAATAAATAGCCTCTTTTTGTTCTCATTTGGGTTGTCTTCATTTAATTCCAGTTATTCGTTCACTTATATATCATATATTAAGTGTATTTTATGTGCCAGGCAGTGCCCAACATTGAAGTGGAAGCACACATTCCCTGCCCTCAAGGATATTCTGTCCATTTGGACAGATATATAATTATATATATGTTTATAGTTGCCGAGGTTGGTTAGATCCAGGTCTGTTGTACATAGCTCTCATTCATATATATATATATATATGATTTTTTACAGAGAGGAAGGGAGAGGGATAGAGGGTCAGAAACATCGATGAGAGAGAAACATTGACCAGCTGCCTCCTGCACACCCGCTACTGGGGATGTGCCCGCAACCAAGGTACATGCCCTTGACCAGAATCGAGCCTGGGACCCTTCAGTCTGCAGGCCGACGCTCTATCCACTGAGCCAAACCAGTTAGGGCAGACACATACATATAATTGCAATTCCATGTAGTAAGCGAAACAATAGGCACATATAAACGGGGTGTAGGTCAAGTAAGGCTTTTACAAGAGGTGAGGCTAGCTGGCCTGCTAAAAGTCAGGGAAGGACATTCAAGGCAGCTGCAGGGGTGGGGAGGCAGAAGGAGCAATACCCGAGAGGGCAGACCCCACAGAGGTGCTGCTGGAGCCCATTAAGGGAGGTAAGGACCAGCGGAGATGCTGCACGGGCGGGTCGTGGACGGCCATGCCTGTGCCACGTTCGTAAGGACTTGGACTTTATCCTTTCGGAGCGGCTCCCTCCTGGAAATGGAACGGCTGTGTAAACAAGAAAGAAAAACCGCATTAAGGAAACATTACGTTTTGGCTCATGTCTGGCACACAGCAGACAATCAATTAATGTTGAATGAATGGGTATAAGCGCCTCGGTGTAGACGTCCTTGTCCCCAATTGATATGTTTTTCTCGCGGGACAAAACAACGCAGCCAAGGCATCCGTTTGGGAGGCTATAGGACAGGTTTGAGGTGGAAAAGCTGCCATTCTGCCGGGCAGGGTTGGTGGACACAAAACCTCCAATAGGTTGTGGGCAAGGGATGAACTACGGGTCGCAGTCACCCCGAGAGCCACCCACCCAGCGAGGCCGCTCTGTCCTGGGAGCAGCCGCGGAGAAAGCAGCCGGCGGAGACCTTCCGCTGCTCAGAAGGCGGAGTGAGCCGGGTGTCCGGGTGCCGCCCGCACCGCTCACCTGT